TCTTCGGCTACTCAAATATTTTACGTTTTTGATACTAAATTAACTTCTGAAGTATAATTTTTTATTGTTTTTATATTTTTCAATATATTTATTTTGTTTGTACAAAATAAAAAAATAATTTTTAACGATACAATAGTCTTCGTTAGGCTTAACATTGACGAAAATTCAACACAAAGCGACACGCAACGGAGAAAAATTTCAACGTGAGATAGGTTAATATATTTTTTCATGCATAATCGGTTATCTGAAATATCAATTTTCCGATCAACCCCAGTCCCCAATTGATTCGGATAATCGACGCTCTACTGTACATACATACATTCTTTTATATATATATATAAAATGTAAAATGAAACAAAGTTTTTAACTAGTGCAGTAGTATAAAAAAAACTCAAAAAATTCAACAATATCAAAAACTCAATCTCTGATGTTATGACAATTTTATGAAGAGGAAAAAAATATAAAAATAATTAAAAAAAAAAAAACAAATACAGTAGAACATCGATTATACAAATACTGATCAACCGAAACATTGGTTAACCGAAAGCGTTCCAATCAGCAAATTCAAATTTTCGCTAGTGCTGTGGTGCTGCAATATTTGGCTATATCTTGGGCTACTCCAATATTATTTTTGTTGGTGTGTGTGTTTTAGCTGGCAGCATTGGCACGACCATATTGTATAGTTAAAAGTTATTTCTTTATTTTGCACAAACAAAATAAATATATTGAAAAATATAAAAACAAAAAAATTATAATTCAAAAGTAAATCTAATATCAAAAATGTTCCGATTCAGCATGACACACATCAAGAGGGTACTTAAAGATGTGCCAGTATTTGAATGAGGCTTTTTTCCCCATCGTGAGTGGTGTGTTTTGCTTCAGCTCATCAAAGAATATAGCCCAAGCAGCTGACATCTCCAGATAAACCAAAGAAAAAGCTTTACTTGTTTTGTGTGGAGTTTTTCTGTGGACTGTGTGTCGGGACATGTTGTTGTGCTGAATTGGAACATTTTTGATACTAGATTAACTTCTGAAATATAATTTTTTTTGTTTTTATATTTTTGAATATATTTGTTTTGTTTGTGCAAAATAAAGAAATAATTTTTAACGATACAATAGCCATGATTTTTATTTTTAAAAAATCTTCGTTAGGCTTAACATTGATGAAACTTCAACGCAAAATGTCATGCAATGGAGAAAAATTTCAATATGGAATAGATTAATATATTTTTTCATACATGATCAGTTATCCAAAAAATTGGTTATCCGAACAACCCCAGTCCCGAATTGCCATGCTCTACTGTAGATATTAGAAATGATATCTACAGTAGAGCATGGCAATTGATTTTTTCTAATGAATTTAGATGCAATATCTCTAGAAATCTAATACAGATAGTTAATATCAAAAGAAATACAGTGAAACCTGGTTAACTCAAATTGGTTGGGAAAAACATTTCAATTTTGAATTAAAAAGTTTCGAGTTATGGAGGTTTACCTAAAAATCAAAAATACACAATTTAAGTGCAAAAAACAAAAAAAGTAGCAAAAAGAGCTCAGCAATAAAAAAATAAAGAGGAAACTAATACCTCCCTCAAAATAATCATAAACTTAATGAACCATTAAAAAAATAACTGATGGTAATTTACATAGTAAAAATATTGAATAAAATTTTTTTTTGTATTCCTCAATATTTTCACTATTAATGAATCATCCTGCAAAACTTTGAAGCAGACCTCTATGCAAATACTATAATGAAAAAAAAGGGAGTACCAGTACCTCAACTTATCAACTATATAAGTTATACACCAACCAATGCTGAATATTAATCGGGCTAGAAACGGCTGTAATATTAATAATTTATAAGACAATTTGGCACTAGAGTTAAGCATTAGGTGCCATCTCTTGATAAATTTAATAATTATAATTTTACTTAAATAATTTAGAACTACTGGAAGAAAAGAATCGGCCTGGAGTGGAACTTGAAACCATGACTCCTGCTTACCATGCAGATGCATTGCCAATTAGGAAGTCCGGGTAGCATAATTGGCAATGCATCTGCACGGTAAGCAGGAGTTGCAGGTTCGAGTCCCATTCCGGACCAATTCTTTTTTTCCAGTAGTTCTAAATTATTTAATTAAAATTATAATTATTAAATTTATCAAGAGATGGCACCTAATGCCTAACTCTAGTGCAAAATTGTCTTATAAATTATTAATATTATAGTCATTTCTAGCCCAATAATATTCAACATTGGTTGGTGTATAGCTTTAAAATATATTGGGTTTAATGATGATGTTTGTTTAACTTTAAGTATTGGAGACATGCAAATAATACTTCTCTCAACATTAAGAGTAGCTCTCTATGAGCATTTAGTGCAATAGAAACATTGTTTTTTTTATTTTTTTCATGATTTTCACTTTGTACATAACACTAAATAATGAAATGATATCAGTAATAAACAGCAATTTACTAAATAATAACAAAAACAAACATTTGATAATTTTTAAATCATCACTACCATGCTTATTATTATATTATTATACAGTATTTAGTGGATTGTACTCGATTGGTACCAGTGGCTGTGTACTATGCTGGACCAGAGTCAAGGAATAGCAACCAAATACTAAAATTAAATAAGTGTGTCAGTGTCTGTATTCAGGAATTTCCTAACAATATGACATGTATTCAATATAGTGGCCTTCTGCAGTGTGATGTATGTATTTCTATTCAATTGTAAAGTTCCCAAGCTTTTGTGTAGTGTGTGTGGTATCACACCTGTACAGGAGAGAACAACAGGTACAATAAGCACCCTATCCATCCTCCACAGATGCCTGATTTCCTGGGCGAGTTCTGTGTACTTGCTAATTTTTTCAGTGCATGTGTTTTGTACATTGTGAGTGTTTGGAATGGCTATGTCTATAATGTATGTGATTTTATTGTGTTTGTCAATGAGTGTGATGTCTGGTCTGTTGTGGTAAATTGTTTTATCTGTGATTATGGCTCTGTCGTAATACATTTTGTGCGTGTTATTTTCCAATACTGTCTGTGGAATATACTTGTAGTATGGTTCGTGGATGTCTGCCAATTTGTGTTTCTTTGCAAGCTCTTGGTGTATTATATTTGCTACTTGATTGTGTCTATGTAAGTAATCTGTCTGTGCCAAGAGCTTGCAACCAGAAGTGATGTGTTGTATAGTTTCTGGCATGATGTGACATTTTCTGCATGTGTCATTTGTGAGTGTTGTATCTTTGAGTATGTGTTTTCTGTAGTTTTTAGTATTTATGACCTGATCCTGTATGGCAATCATGAATCCTTCCGTCTCCCCAAAGAGGCATCCCCGATCTAACCAGCTGTTTGACGCAGTTTTGTCAACAAAATCCTGGGCCAGGTCATAAGGATGCCTGCCATGGAGTGCCTTTCGAGCCCACGATTGCTTGATGGTGTCTATGCTTTTTATATGTTGTGTCAAGTCTGTATGATGTGAGTGTAAGTTTAATGGTGTGCTATTTGAGTCTGCTAGAGTTACTGCTTTATGTAATTGTGATGTTTCTTGTTTCCTGTAGAAAAACTCTCGCAGTGACTGTATTCGTTTGTAGTGAATTATTATTATTATTATTAAACAAACAACACTACAAAAAAACCCAATACATTTTAATACTAAAGCCAATCACTGCCATATGCCATCATAATTAAAATTATAATTATTAAATTTAATATGAGAAGGCACCTAATGCCTCCCTCTAGTGTCAAATTGTTTGATAATTATTATTATAGCCATTATATAGCCCAATGATATACAGCAGTGGTTGGCTTTATTATTATTATTTAATAAATTGCTGGATATTACTGGCATCATTTTGTTATTTATAATTAAATTTAGTTTTTGAAGTATTGAATAGTTATTGGTACATAGCACTTTAATGCAATAAATTGCTGTTTTTTTTTTATTTAGTATATTTTTTCAAGACTTTGCTCATAACATACTCTTTAGCATTTCCCTATTGGGGTATGCTATAATCATATTTCGCTGTATTTTCAATACTATTTTTAATAAACTGAAAGCAAATAACTTACTTGATTTTGAAGATTGCTCTAAACCATGAGAATAAACCCTGTAATTTTATAATTATTGAATTAAAATTGTTATTAAATATTAATATTAAAATATAAGATATTTAAAAGTAAAAGAAATGTACTTTAATTTTTATTTAAGATATAAATAAGCAGTATAAATAATTTTCTTAATAGCTAAGTATGCTATATCACTAATTCAAAATATTGAATTTATATTAGAAACTTAATCTAATTATACATATAAATACATACATAATAAAAATTATTATTATTTTAAATTGTTTTGTTTTAATCTTGTTTCACTAAAAAAATTCATTTACTTTAACAATTTTGTTAGTTTTAAAATTACTTAAGAATACAGTCATAAATATACAAATGTTAAAGATCAGTTAAAAACTAAGCTTAATGAAGTATTTACATAACAAAATATTTTTATTTTATATAATTTTACTTTAAAAATTAAATTTCATTTCTACATTTAATCATAAAATGCATAATTACCTACTATATACCAACTTTTTGCATTATTGTAATATATGCTACAGAACTGTAACACACTTTTTCATAATGCAACTCTAAAAAATTTTAACAACAACAAGAGCTAGAATACAAATATATCATCAATTTTCCAGTAGCTGATGGTCTGGCATTTCTTTAATCTGAACAAAATTACAAAAAAGCATTTGAAATTACCATATTAAGCCACAAGTGGCATTGTATGTGGTGCATATTCTTCCAGGAACAGACTAGATTTTCAGTAGGTATGTCACTCTCATGAATATTTTTATAACTGCTAAACTAGTGGATCATACTGCTTAAAAATTTTTTTCATCAATGTTGCAAAAATGTATAATTTAATACAATATAAATATTTAATTTCAAATTTTTTTACAACAAAAAATTTTAATTATTCCGGGTAGCATAATTGGCAATGCATCAGCACGGTAAGCAGGAGTTGCAGGTTCGAGTCCCATTCTGGACCAATTCTTTTTTTCCAGTAGTTCTAAATTATTTAATTAAAATTATAATTATTAAATTTATCAAGAGATGGCGCCTAATGCCTAACTCTAGTGCAAAATTGTCTTATAAATTATTAATATTATAGTCATTTCTAGCCCAATAATATTCAACATTGGTTGGTGTATAGCTTTAAAATATATTGGGTTTAATGATGATGTTTGTTTAACTTTAAGTATTGGAGACATGCAAATAATACTTCTCTCAACATTAAGAGTAGCTCTCTATGAGCATTTAGTGCAATAGAAACATTGTTTTTTTTATTTTTTTCATGATTTTCACTTTGTACATAACACTAAATAATGAAATGATATCAGTAATAAACAGCAATTTACTAAATAATAACAAAAACAAACATTTGATAATTTTTAAATCATCACTACCATGCTTATTATTATATTATTATACAGTATTTAGTGGATTGTACTCGATTGGTACCAGTGGCTGTGTACTATGCTGGACCAGAGTCAAGGAATAGCAACCAAATACTAAAATTAAATAAGTGTGTCAGTGTCTGTATTCAGGAATTTCCTAACAATATGACATGTATTCAATATAGTGGCCTTCTGCAGTGTGATGTATGTATTTCTATTCAATTGTAAAGTTCCCAAGCTTTTGTGTAGTGTGTGTGGTATCACACCTGTACAGGAGAGAACNGAAGTAGATTAATAGCGATATACTAATATACTAATTACATGGGATATAATAATATACTACACTAATAATGGATTTTTTCATATTTTTCGGTTATCCGATTTTTCAATTATCCGACCAACCCCAGTCCCCAATTGAGTCAGATAATCGAGGCTCTACTGTAATTAATTTAGAAAATTCTGGACAAAAAGACTGACCCAAGGCAAACTCAAACCCACAAGTTTTACTTATCATTCAGATGCATTACAAGTTATACTGCACTGACCTCCATCCAATCCTATCATTAATTACTACCCATCTTATTTAAGTTTCTAGCAGTCAACAGTGTTTTAGAGTTAAGGAAAAAATTAATTAGTAAGTCAAAAGCGTACTGTTCTATTATTATGATATGGCTTCTATTTGTCTGGCAAAAAGATAATTTGGCAAGGCTGTGGAACCAAACATACTGGAAACTTGTAGAATATCTATACATATAACCATGCAGTGAAAATATTAACTTTTTGACTGATTAAAGAAATAAGCAAAATATATTAAACATTTAATTATGAATTTAAAAAGAAAGTTTTTAATAAATAATAGATTAATATAGCATAGATTAATATTTAGCATCACTTTTTCAGAATTCTTCTCAGACTCCATAAATTAAATTCAAATCTTTTTTTCTACTTATTAGAGTCCAAATGAAACACATAGATACTTTCACTCTCTTGATTCAGCCCTTTCAGATTTCATTGTCCATCATCAGAATCTAAAATCAATTAATGTTCTCTATTCAAACATTCTGCATTTCAGAACATTTTAAAACCAAAACCATAATCACATGCTCTCTTCTCATGTCAAGATGTTAAAATATTTTTTGCTGTTAATTCTCTTCTTTCTGTTATCTTTTGACTATACTTTTTATCAGCAGCATGGGAAAGTCCAAATGTGAATTGTGGTTTGTTTTGAAATGTTCTGAAATGCAAAACATTTGAATAGAAAATAGAGAACAATGGTTGATTCTAGTTACGATGGTAAACAACTTAGTCTGAAAATACTTAATCAAGGGAGAGAAAATATGTATATTTTTTATTTGGATTCCAATAAGCATAAAAAAATTTAAAGTTAATATTTATGAATTTTTGAAAAATGAAGAAGACATTTTATTTTCAAGTGATAAATAGTAACTTTTTGTGAGAAATATGACCAAAATGTATGGAAAACAGAAAATGCTTAAAAATACCCTTAATTTTGGAAAATTCTGCAGAAGTCAACAAGATTAACTTCATAAAAACTTCAAAAATCTCTTCATAGCAAACCAACAGAAATTAAAATAAACACTTTTGAAAGGAGAGCCAGACAATAACTCCCTCTCACTGATTAGAAAATCTATTTTGGTTGATTGGATTTGAAGTTTTGTAGCACAAGGGCCTAGAATAAGCCAAAAAGTGCCAAGTCTAGCCAGTTATGTTGCTGTATGCCATCTTGAGTCTTTTAATATGTCAGTTGTCTGTTATATACCGAAGTCTAGGACATACAAGTTTATTGCCTTTAGATATGTGATTGTATGTTGAATTTGTCCATTCTCATCTAGTATATTCCATAGAGTTTGATCATCTGAAGATATTTGTCGTCGAAGGTAGCATTCTCTGACTGTTTTGTACTGAGAGAATGTTAGTAATATATGTTGGGTCATAAATGGGATGTGGCAAGTTGAGCATATCAGTATGCATATCTTTATAGTATGGTATGAAAGTTCTTGGGAAATCTATTTTAAGAAATTGGAACACTGACTCAAAAGTAGTTGGTTTTTTCTCCATTTTTACTTGTGGTTATTTACATTACAGTACATTATTTGTGGTTATTACCTTTATTAATTCAAGAATCAATTTTAACTAATAATTTAAATTATTCAAATAATTATGACCATACAAATAATTTCGGGTCATTTTAAAGTCTTTATCCTTATTTAACATTCCAATGATTAACAACATGAAGATACAAACAGTTGTTCAAAAAACCTGACGATATGATATTAAAAACATACACACACTATACATTTGACTTTGACTTTTCTTTGAGGATCCAATGTCAACAACACAGTATTAAAATTTTTTAAATCATCACTAAGGTCATTTTTTGTTGTATTTATACCCATTTGTATCTGGTTGGAATGTTGAAAAAGAATAAAGATTTTAAAATGATCCAAAATTATTTGAATGGTCATAATTATTATCATAATTATTTAAATAAATAAATTAATCATTGGGACTTTATAATTCATGTAAATACTAATTTAAAGCTAATTCTGAAAAAGACAATAACAGATTAGCAGATAATATGAATCCTTGCTGATCTACATTTAGATGATTTTTCAAAGAAATATTCAACTAAATTAATAATTAATTTAATTTCAAGAATGTATTTTACTGCCCTATTATATAATGTTTTATTAAACATTGAAAAAGTGCATTCAAGTTTGATAAATGCTACACAAGATAACACCATATTTATAAATAAAGTAAAATTTTTTTTTGTAATTCCATTTTTATAATAAATTTCAATATGTTAGTTTCAAATAAATTACTTGCATAAACATTGCAAATAACTAAAAATCTCATATCTATCATCATATGACAAATAATAAATTTAACAATATTTATATAAAATAATTTGTTTATTAATTTTAAAATATATGTTTTAGTTTAAAATAAATACAGTCATACCTTAGTTTTTGAACTTAATTCATTCCTAAAAGTTGTTTGAAAACTGATTTGTTCTAAACCAAAACAAATTTTTCCATAAGAAACAATATAAAATGGATTAATCTATTCCTGACATACAAACAAAACCTCCTTTTTTTTACCTTTTTAGCATATTTCATGTATAAAAATGCAATATATTATTATCTATATCTATTCTATATACAGGGTGACTTATCAAGACCACATAAACTCTTGGGTTATTTTTTATATACTCCAAGTGAGGATTATTGCTCAGAGTATATAAAAAAACAACCAAAGAACCATATCTCTACAACCCATAGTTTGAGAAAAATGCAAAAGAAAACATATGATGTCACATCAGATGCACAGAAAATAAGCTTTATTGGAACATAACGTCATATGCAAGTATTGATGTTTATGCTTATGTAGGATACTCAAAATGACCGCCATGAATGCACACTCCGTAGAATGGTTGACTGCACACAATCCAGCATCATATTGCCCACAAAAGCAAATGCAACCTAAGATAAGCAGTTAAGATTGTCTTCATGCTGCTTTCTACAGCCATTCTACAGCAAGCTTCAATATGCATAATAGTCATTTTGAGCATCTTCTTATGTAAGCAAAATGTCATATGTAAGTACTGATGTTTGTGTTTCCAATAAAGCTTATTTTCTGTGCACTAAATGTGACATTACACATTTTATTTTGCATTTTTCTCAAACTATGAGTCATAGAGATATGGTTCTTGGGTTATTTTTTATATACTCCAAGCAAGGATTTTTGCTATGCAGAGTTATGCAGTCTTGATAAGACACACTGTATATATTAAAAGCAAAATGTTCATTACCACCAACCAAAATCAAAACTAACACTTTACAAAGAAGTGCTATAAATAAAGACTCAACTCTGGATGAAATATAACCAAATCAATCAAGACAGACAACAAGTACTTTACTCTCACTTTCCGAAATATTATGTTTCAATTAATTTAATTTTAAATAATTAATCAATTAATTTTGATTTTATTTTTAGTTTTAATTAACTGGCTACCTAGTATTAATAAATATTAATATTATAATATATAATATTATAGTAATAGCTTTTTGTTATTTAACTTAAGCATATTTAAACACAAATTCTTGAATGCATTTATATTATGTAAATGTCAATTAATTCTGTTTTTATTCATTTAATTTAAATTATCATTAAATTCAACTGTGGCATGTACCAAAAAAAACAGTAGTAGTATCTTTCCCGCATGCACATTGAAATCTAATTTAAATAGCATCATCATCAACAATTTGTGTCATGACATCTAATGACATGAGGCAAATTTAAGCACCACTAATTTCTAAATCAGTAGTATTGTCATTGATTGGTCTGGCCATTGACTTTCTTTAACATAGGAAGTACAGAGAGTTAACCATCTGTGGCCAATTCTTACCAAGTAGCTATGTCAACCAAGTTATCATATGGCAACTTGGGCAAATATGAATTCAAAATTTTGTTCATGAACCAAATTGTTTGAAAAGTGAGGCATTTGAAACCAGAGATTTTGACTATCTGCTAATTTAAAATTATATTTTAAAAATAAATATTAATTGTTTAATATGAATTTTTATATAAAAGATGAAATAAGAACTAAAAACATAGTTTTTAATTCTTATTTGATTTTTTGTTTTTAATAATAACAATAAAACAAAGGCCAAACACAAAATATTTATTTCATCCAAATAGAAAATCTTTAATCCAATTATAAAACTAAAATTAAAATAAGACCTTATCAAAAGCAAGATTCATATCAAATGAATCAATAGATTCTGTTTCTTCACTTTGTATCTGGTTAGTGCCACTCTCTCCATAAAATAGTGATGTCCATCTATAAAGTAAAATAAAAAAATAAAATTTTATTAATTTATAGTACAGCCCCAAATTTGATAACAAATAATTTCTATTGCATAATGTAAATTAATCTTTACTAATAAAACTATATTAATACTCAACACACATAGTAATATATAGGTGATCAATAAACAAAGTAACAAGTGGATTCTTGTACATATTTTTATATATAAAAAGACATAACTACACGTGCAACTACATGTATATTCACACTATTTCTCCACATAGTTTTCATATTTTTCCCAACATTTTTTCTACCAGGAAACCAATGCATCTTTTGGTTTCCAGCAGAGAAGAAAGTTGGGTTGAAGGTCCCTCCAGCCAAGTCCAAGACTGGGTTGAAGGTCCTCTGCAGTTGCAAATCTTCATCCACCAAGATGTTTTTTCATTGGTCCAAATAAATAATAATCAATGGAAACCAGGTTCAGTGACTGTGAACATATGTTCCAAACTTCCCAGTGGAAATCTGATGTGGCAACAGATGATGTTTACAGTGTGGATTTTGTATTGTTGTGTAACAGAATGACACTATGTTGCAGTGGCACAGATCTTTTATGGTAGTCTCTTTCATTGTGTCCAAAGTTTCACAATAGCACAGCATTCAGAGTGGTGTCTTGGGAGGAAATCCACAAGTAGAACACAAAGATGGTTCCATAATTTTCTTGGCAGATACTGATATCTTTAACTTCTTTTGTTGTGGGGATTATGAATGTTCCCATTTCAAGCTTCCTTGTTTTGATTCTGGGTGTTAACAGGTGCAGCATTGTTACATTCCCCATAAAATGCAGATGAGAAACTTAGAGTCTTCATAGTGTATCAGATGTTACAAAGCAAGGCCTACCTGTTTGTGTTTCATGTTATTCTTCAGGTATTTTGGTACCATCAGAAACAAGTGGATATTGAATATTGTACCTATTTTTGCAGGTTTTATAGATTGTGTTACCTTATTTATTGATCTGTCCTTGTATATTACATCTCTTTTAAAATACTACTTGGTTCCATAAATTGAGAGAAAATGGATTTTGTGGATTTCTCAAAATAAACTTCCAAAAACAAAAAAATATATACACAGAGTGTGACAATTTGAAAATGAGACTGATGCTAGATAAAAGTAATGAACCACTATAGTAAATTATCAATACTCAAAATAACTTCCTTCTGCATCTGTTACACTTGTTTGCACACTAACAAAGGGCATAGAATAACTCCTGGAAAGTCAATACTAAAATATTTTTTATTCAGGTATTTTTACAGTTTCTAAGTTAACTTTTATATATTAAAACAATATAAATTTATCTTTCTATTAATAAAGATCTTAATATTAATAAGATTTCATAACCTTTAATACTAAAGTGTAAACTTTTTCCTTTTTAAATGGCTAAATAATTTTGAATATGAAATCTTTGAAAACATTCAACTGTTAAAAAGAAATATTTTGAAAAATATAACAGATAAAATTCATAAAATTTTTATAACTTTTTAGTATAGTTTGCAGAAGTGCGCCTAAGTCAATTATTTTCTATTAATTTAATAAATTAATACAGAATATCATCTCTTTTATCAATATTTTATCAAACATCAAAAGTTCAATAGTTCTGTTTCTCATATTTAGTTATTTAAGAAATTCTTCTAAATAGCTAAATACAAAATTGATTTTTCTAATTTTAATTTGCAGTTTAGGTATATTTTCATTATTATTATTATTATTATGTTGTGAATGTCATATGCTCAGCTGATACTAATACCAAGTATTATGCCAGACTAAAGTCAAGCATAGTTACCCAAATAAGTGTAACATTAAGCTGTGTTATTGGTATATGTGTCAACATCTAGAAACCTGACTCACAATGTGACATATGTTCTATATTGCAGCTTTCGGTAATGCCATGTATGTGTTATTATTAAGGTTTAATATTTTTAGAGTTTTGTGTAGTATATGTTGTATGACACCAGTAGAAGAGAAGACAACAGGTACAATAAATGCCCATTCATTCTCCACATTTGTCTTATTTCCTGAGTGAATGGAGTGTACTTGATTTCTTCAGTGTGAGCATTTTTTATGTTATGAGTGTTTGAAACAGATGTCTATTATATAAGCACAAAATTAAAAACAATGGGATCAGTAAAAAAATTCATAAAAAATTTTGTTGTAAATTCTAAAAATTAATAAAATAATTTCTAGATTAAAACCAAGTAAAACTACTCTCTCTTATCTGACTTCGAGTGATTTGTAATAAATTTAATTATAAAATAGATAGAAATAATGTTAAAATATTATATAAAGTTAATTATTTTAAAAGAAGAATAATAGAACATTTTTGTATCATAGCATATGCAAATGTAATAAATCTGAATACCGGGATGGAGATGCATGCTGGAAAAAAAATCACAGCATAAAAGGAACAGAAATTGTTAAATTTCATTATGTCCATTGATGAGGCATTATTGTAAGCAAAATGCATTTGGATTTTATGAACATGAAGTTATTGGCAATTAAAGTTAAAGTTTAGTATTTCTATGTTATTTGTTTGTCCGCTAAAATAAATCACTTGAAGTCAGATAAGAAAGAGTAGTTTTACTTGGTCTTAATCTAGAAATTATTTTATTAATTTTTAGAATTTACAACAAAATTTTTTATAAGTGATCTTATTGTATTTGTCAACAAGAGTAATGTCAGGTCTATTGTGATGAACTGTTATATATGTGATAGAGCCATAACCACATATAAAACAATTCGTCTTATTATTATTATTCTAATAAAATAATCACATAGTAGTATAGGTGTATTTTTATGACTGAAGAAATATTTCGAATATATTTCGAAGAAATATTTCATATTTTTTACATAGCAAGTGAAATTAATGTATTAAAATATTTATAAAACTTTAAAACTTAAAATATTCATAAATAATTTCAAGTCTATCTGAATACTTTGGTTGGAAATTACACTTCTAAAATACACTGCTGTTCATAAAAATTGCTACACTAGGAAGGCAAATAACAGATTTATGTTTATTGTACACATACAACAGGTAGAAAAATTGACAGGTAATCTTGAGGTACAGAGCACTTAGCATGTTATACTTTTCATGCAAATTTTGCATTTGTTACGTGCCACCTTCATGGTGCAGCAATTTTAATGACCAACAGTATACATTTGTATAAAAGCACTGTCATTTATATTTTGAAAAGTAAAGTAAAAAGTCATTTTGTTATTCAATTAAAGCTATACTTTTTTAACCTTTAAACCTTTCATGAAAGGATGTAAATCAACATACATTTTTAAATTGTACAAATTATAACAAATTACTACACTGAGATTTAAGGATTCTTTATACTATTTTAAAAAAAACATCCTATTTTTGTTTTCTTAAACAATTAGGTAATTACATTAAATACAATCTAAAATATCTTTAAAATATTTGTACTTTTGATTATCTCTTTGTACTAAGGCAAGTCTTCCATAATTCCATGCACGTTTCCTTAACAAACTGAAGAGAATCAGCAAAAACTATTAAAAAGAAAAAAGACCAGATTTAGTTAAGGTACAAATTAAATAAAATTAATTATTATTAATTTAGTACACTATCAAATTCTATTAATTATACTATTTCAAGATTTCATGAAATTAAAATTTTTATTTTTAATTTTAATATATAAGTAAAAAATTTTTTAACTAAAAGGTGATCTTAATTAAAAAGTAAATGTTCAGAACTCTCTGTAGAAAGAACTATTGGGCAAATCTCAATCAAATTTGATATAAATACTATCCTGAGTATACAGTTCTGATTTGTGTAAAAAATTTCTTACAAAAATTTAGCCACTAGGGAAAAATTTGGTACTCCTATCCACTTAATGTACTGTATGTAGGAGTTGCAAAACATTCTTCACAATGCTTCAACAGGTGAACAGTCATAGTGCTCAATTTGTCTGATCACATGTTACTTCTTCAATTCTTCTATCAATAAAATAGTAATGCCAAAATTTAATAAATTTCAGCACTTAAAAGGGGTTTACAAAGAGGATTTCTGACTACTGGAAATCTTTGGAAAATGATTTTGTGTTTTAAGGAGACTGAAACTTTAACTGCAAAAGTATCAATAGAACAAGGTCACCAACTGGTTAATGTTGAAAATGGAAGATATTGCTACAGCAGTAATCACAATTCTACATTCCACACCTGTAAGTGAAATAAAATTTTTGTACTTATTTTCTTAATTTCCAAAATTCATTAGAAAACCTACATAATATGCATATTAAGGAGCAGCAATGCAAAATTGCATAAAATTTTTGAAGTAATTTTCCCCCAATAATTTAAACTGCATATTTAGTACAATATGTATACTAAATTTGGTTGAAATTTGCCCAATAGTTCTTTCTGCAGAGAGTTCTGAACATCTCTTTAATTATGATGACCCTGTATAAAACTTACCAGCCAAACAACAATATTGATGCTAAGATTGAAAGGAATAAATCCATAATCATGAGTATTTAAATTAATGGATGTATAGTTACTTTGAGGATAGATATTACAACTAAGTTCTTCAGAATGATTGCTGGTTAGTTGTTTTTTCTTTGAAAAAAGATAATGCATAAAATCTGGATGTATTTCTGAAGTCATAATTCTGTAAAAAAAATTTGAATACCATTACAAATTTTGAAATAATAATTATTATTTAAACATATAATTTAACATTAAAACTATTAAATAATGTATCATACTGGCCATCAATTTATCAAAAAGTAATTAATAAAATGTAAGATTTTAAACTACAGTGGTGCCTCGTATAACGTACTTAATCCGTTCCAGGTGCACGTCCGTTAAGTGAAAAGTCCGTTATACAAAACGCATTTTCCCATAGAAATACATGTTAAAACATATAATTCGTTCCGCAGCATAAAATAACCGTACCATAAAAAAATGAAAATGGAGCAGTCATCAATTATGCCGAGAGTCAGATGTTGTGAGGAGGTGGAGGAACACTTTTTTGATACATTCATACAGATACAGACTTTTTACACATTACAGCAGGTCTCTTTTTATTGTTTTTTAATCGGAATCAGATTTAGAAGAGGCTACCAGAGCTTGCAGGGTCAACTCCTCTTGTTTCATCCTTTGTTTTTTGACAGCTGGCTTCGTGAAAACATCATGTCCAAGGTGGTCTGTTTCTCTCTCTTCTTCAACACCTGTCGGAAATGACGGGCAAGGGTGTCATTGTAGAGATCATTGATCCTGTTGGCCTCAGCTCTGTTTGGATAATGAGTGTTGGTAAACTCCTGAACCTCTCCCCATTTGACAAGGAAGTTTTTGTCAACTTTCACTCCTTCTGATGATTTCTTGCTTTGTTTCAATTGAAATCACCTTTCTGTTTTTTTAGAAGCCATGATTTGCACAACACTTGAATAAATGTAAATACCCCCTGCACTGAGGTGATGTACTGTACATAATAAACAAGAGAGCAAGCCGAATCCCAACGGGAGCTTTGTACTTCAGATATACTAATAATATCAATATATTCTAATAATACTAATATACAGTATAATAAAAATAGCAGATTGTCATTGGCAACGGCAAACGAGTGGAAACATCATTCGCACTTGTTCGCAGAAAGTCTGTTGTTCGCAGCCAGTCTGTTGCTCGAGTCACATAACGGCCAAACAGAAAGTCCGTGTTTGCAGCGTCCGTTATTCGAGGCATACGTTATACAAGGCACCACTGTACTATCATAATTTTTTGTTCATCACAAATTATTATTAATAATAAAAAATACTTGATTAAATATTGCTTTAATATAAAACTTTAATTTCAAAATTATTAATACAATAATTATTTACAAAGAACATATTTTGTTGTTTTGAAAAGAATACTTGTTAAAATAAAGAAGACTGCTTCCAGGAATTATTGTTAATTAATATATAAAACTGTTAGTTTCATTAATTAATTAGGAAGTACAATGATATTGTGCATATAATCCATGGGTTATCCCAGGCATGGCCAACATATGGCCCGTCTAATGAATTTATGTGGCCCGCGATCAATCTTTCAATATTAGCTACTTAAGTCCAAATATCTTGATGAAAAATTCTGATGGCTAAATAAAAAAAAAAAGGTCAACAAGTAACTGTGCGATTAGAGTTAACGCTCCATTAGAAATGTCTTCAGCACAGCATAGAATGTTGATAATGCATGATAATGTGGAAAACATATCTGTGATCTTTATGTACAATTTATTCTCTATGGGGTGACACCACAATAAGATCTCGCATCACCTCAAAATCTTTCTAGGGCAGCCTCTGGTTTGGCCCATGAAAAAAGTTTTCTTTCCAATTCAGCCCGGGGGCAAAAACTGTTGGCTACTGCTGGGTTATCCAAATGAAATTACAGTTGTAATTTGAAAGCATTGTAATTTTGCAGATAATATGCAATAATGCATATTATCTGCAAAATGTAATTTGTACATTAAAATATTTATATAATGAATTTTACAACTAAAATTACAGAATAATTGTCTTTTGATGTTAATTTTCAAAACTAAAATACACAAAAGTACAGTANAATATAGACCTGTACAAGATAATGAATTTTACAACTAAAATTACAGAATAATTGTCTTTTGATGTTAATTTTCAAAACTAAAATACACAAAAGTACAGTAGACCCCTATAAAACGGGTTCCTATAATTACGATTCCTATAAGACAGTGAAAAAATTGCGACGGTATCCGTAAAAAACGGTAAAAAACTCCTATAATTACGTAAAACATCATCGGGCAGCCGAACTACTTACCATGCCGTCAAGCGTCACGCTACGGAGAGATTACTATCGTCTGTACAGTATTATATATAAATTAGGTACTGTACATATAATTATATATTAATTATATATAAATTAGGTACTGTATATATAATTATATATTAACTTAATTTATTGTAACTTTATTATAATTATATATATATATTTTCCGCCGCCTGGCGCCACGCTACGGAGAGTTTAGGCAAACTATCATCTGTACAGTATGTAAATTAGGTACCGTAAGTCTAATAAGTACTGTAATTTTATACATTTCTTGTGAAAGAAACATTTCTTATTCAACAGCGATTAAAATTATTTATATTAATGATGTCTCCAAAGTTCAGCAAAGTTTTCGCAGAAAAATAACATCAGAAATCGCGGCCGCAGTTTGCTGAGTTATTCCGCGACGAAAACAAGCTTGAGCAATGGCGATGTCAAATGGTGCACACTCGGTAAGTAATCCTACAATTTTTTGTTTATAGCATAGTTTATACGGATTATTCCCAAAAATAATATACGTATTTTGGAAATGTTGAGTCGGATTAGTCTAGAATCGATTAATTTTATGGAAGAAAACCTTTCAAACAGCCATAGTCCGTAAACTTGACACGTGTCGTGCTGTGATTGGAAGGACTCATAAGAAATCGGATTCCTAAAGAATGGAACGTATCTACTGTCTTATAGGGGGTTCGACTGTATAAAAATAAAAATTATTGGCAATTCCAAAGAACTATAGAGGGCACTATATTGATTTAAAACAGAAAATGCAAACAGGGCAAGTTTGCAATAGAAAGAATCAACTTTCTCTGTATTGGTCATTTAATTAATGCAATGTACACAAACATTGCATTAAATGACCAATACAGAGAAAGTTGATTTTTTCTATTTTTTAATTCTATGATTAATGTTGATTCAGAAGATATGCAGAGGGTAGTATCACAGAATAAACACCTTTAGATACAGAAGTAGTTAGCAGCAGAACCTTCAATATATCCCTTTCCACTATTTCCCCTGAAAGGGTAGCCAGCACCATATTGAAAATCATTTCATTTACTTTTATTTAGGCTGACCATAACATCTACAATTCAACTGAGAACACATTTCAGAATCATTGAAAATCGAGTATAAAACTGATTGAACTTTGATGATTTTTTAAAACTTATTTATCTATCTATAAATTGATGCTATTATATTAAGGTGTTAATAAAACTGCTATATTCAAAGATTGATTCTACAATCAAATATAAAAAATAGGCAAAACTGGAGACAGTCCCCAGAAATCAGAGATATCAGTTCACCCTACCCTATTTATTTATTACTTACTTAAATTAGCAAGTATTCCGATTTACATATTTCAAAATAATTTTGATAAATAGAGATTAAAATCTAATAAAAATTAAAATAATTAAAAACATTAATAAAATATGTAGAAATATTATAAAATATGGCAGATAACTCATTACTGATAACTCTACACAGTAATGGAAATAAGATACACCAGTGTTTTATGGAGTGTACTTATTTTTATTTGTTCCACTAATGCATTGTTCTCATTTCTATTAAAAAAAAAAAAATGTTTATGTTCATAAAAGTCTTCTAATAACTGGAAATATAAGATACCACTTAACAAAACCTTGAAATTCCAGTAAATACTTAATAAAAATCTGAAATTCTTCAAGGCCAACTTTAAAGAACAGTGTATTAATTTCAAAAACAAACTATGAATCTTGTATGCCTGGAAACACTTTACAATATACAAAGACCTAACAACACATCATGAAGCTCTTGCCCCTTTTTAAATGTTTATTTATATAGCATCCTCTTGTGAACACATCCCATGTATTGTCAATATTTTTCTAATTTTTACTTATTTTATAAACTCATATATACTGTACAGTACATATCCTATGTATTTTTCTCTCCATAATATGATGCTTTATTATTCTTTTACCACACATTTTAAGATGTTACAATTACAATATGCTTAATTTTATTTATATTTATCATTTCTATTTTAAAATTCATAATACATCATGTTCAAAAATAGAAGAGTGAATTTGACCTGATGCAGATCTTGAGAAGGATCAAAAATGTTTATCAAATATTTATATTATATTAAATATTTACTGGAATTTCAAGGTTTTGTTAAGTTGTGTGTAATAATGATTATGATTTTTAATAACACTTTCATAACTTAATCAAAAATAAAAATCATAACTACCACAAACTTCATACATTTAATAAATCATTCCCTGGTTAACAATTTATTTGTAATACATTGAAGAAACTAAATCCATCTTCTCAATCACTTACAAATTACAGAAACAGTCTTCCACAGAGAATAATACAAAACAGTTTAAAAACATTCTCTGGAAATAATACCAAAAATTAAAACAAATAGTTTGATTAAAATTCCTGATAGAATTTTACACATTAAAAATACATTCAAGAAACTAGTTTTATCTTCATATCTCTAACTTACAATACAAAAAAAATTTATTTATAACATTTATTCCTATTTATATTTTAAAAGAAGTATTTTTGCTTTTTATTTTATATTAAAAATTGTGTGATCTTTTGGTAAAAGCCTTAAATTATAAAGATCTTTATTGATATAACTTATATATGTGACTTTAAGATAATGATTTTCAGTGGTGCATTATTATAATGCTTCATGGAGTTCATGCAAATTTAATTAGGAAGCCCCATGTATAAGGTGCATTCATGGTCTAAGGTCTCTCATTTTTTTTCCTGACAAAATACTTACACAAACAAATTGAAACTTCTCACTTCTCAACATAATCTCCCTGCAGATGTACACATTTTTAACAT